CTTTACTGTTTCTACTATGCAAAGACTGTGTACCTTTTAATGTTGTTGATGTTTTCCAGACTGCGCTGTGGATTCATCCCCAGTTGTCCCAGACAAGGCCAGCATCTCCACACCACCTCCTGATGCACGCATCTTAACTACACGTCCTGATGCCACATCTTCACACCACGCCCTGATGCCACATCTTCACACCACGCCCTGATGCCACATCTTCACACCACGCCCTGATGCCACATCTTCACACCACCCTCTGCACTACGTCTGAACTCAGTCCACACCCAGTGGGAGGACCCTTCACAACAGGATCACACATACTTCCACACATCTCGCAGAAAGGACGTGCAGGACAAGATGACTCAGTGTGATGAGGTTGCATATTTGTGACCCATCATATCAAAATGAGGATTAAGTCGAATTTGGTCAAAATGACCTAATTACATTTTCTGATTCTTGGCTTTAAAAGCTACATTTTGATACCTGGATCATTCTTTGGTCTGAATCCTAATTTGATGTCATTTTACTGAGGAATTTTTGATGTCCTTTTAAAGAGGAAACCTCAAATTTTATTTGACTATTGAGATTTCCCAGCTAAAAAAAAAACACCTTGCTAGCTCTCAGGGAAAATCTTAATAATTTAAGGCGTTTTTCGTCAAAATCAGTTGTTTTGTTGCTACTGCTCAAAATAGTGCTTCAAAATTTTGTTTTATGATTATATTTCAGACAGTTCATTCAACTGATACATTGATGAGGCTTTTATTCATTATATTTTGACTAAATGCAATTTCTGTTAACATTTTAGTCAAAACACTATATTTGCCTATTTCTCCATACACCTCTTTTGGACTTCCTGTAATCCTCGTTTTGATGTGATGGGTCACATTTCATTCTACAAAAAAATTCAGGATTTTTTACTGTGTTCTGTGTACTTTTAAACTTCAATTTTTGTCATAAAAACATTTCACTGCAAGTTGAACTTTGTGTATGTGATAAATTTGATTGCTCTCATTTTTATCTTCTGTTGCTAACATATTTTATGAAGGCAATGCATTCCACATACAGAAAAAGCTATTGAACATATATAATTTTGCATTTTAGGTAAAAATGATTTTTTATCAAAACCATGAATGTAATTTGACACTTTTTTGTTTATCAAGGAGTTAAAAAGTACATAAATTCTTATCAATGTTGTCAATACATCATCATGTCACTTTCCAATTAGTGTTTTCTGGAGAAGGAAAAGTGGCTGAATTTGTGCTTTGMTAAMAMCATCTCTGAAGTCTTTGTGTGAAAGATGATGAGGTGTGTTT